CCCCCCCCAAAAAAAAATAAATAAATAAAAAAAAAAAATCGGAGCACATGTTCTACCCGCCCCTATAGCCGTTTTATGTAATATCAGAAAAATAATGTACCTGGGCACTAAAGGATAGCTCAACCAGGTCAATCCAACCCTCATTTTTGTTTTCGTAATGGACTAAACATTGGAATTTGCTTAGAATACTGGAAACATTAGAAGTGCATCTGCACAATATATGCCATGTAGTGGTATAATTCAAGTCAATATTCATATAAGAGATTCTGAAACAAACACTGAGCACACAGGTTTCCCCAATTTAGGTATTGAGTGCATCTCCTTGTTGAATATGTGGATATTACGCTATATACAGAAAATCACTTTACTTTTACAATGAAATCCTTCAAATAGTAGTCGAACATCGTGTCCCTTGTTTGGAACTTAGGGGAGGAGATGGTATAGGTCCAAATGGCATGATAACTACACAGTTTACATGGAACCTATACATCCCAGAAACCCAAGTCCCGACCTTCCATCGGAGCTTTCCAATTACCTTGACGGTCAAAACCAGTTTTCCGATTCTCTGGTCGCGCCCGACATCATAACCAAAGGACGGAGCTACAGGTTGCTGATATCCTACCAGAGACGCACTCAGGTAATTTGTTTCTTCGTGCTCTTGGTAAAAAGGAGGGATTGAAGTATCGTGAGTAATTGTTTGACCCTTGTAAGATGCACATACCTGTAACTCATCGTAATAAATCCCGACTTTCCTGTTTGGATTGTTGGATAGGAGAGTGAGCTCAACTGAGGAGTTGAGAAGGGAGGGACCGGAGAGGTTGAGTTGATTGATTTCAACCTCTCTGAGAGAAAACTGGGGCTTTGTGGGGTGTAGGATGAGCCAAACTAGCAAGATGAATGATAAAACTGTAAGCAGAAAGGTAAAGAAAGCAAAGAAGAGCTTCTTGTTGAATTTCTTGAAGTTGACTCCTTGGTTGGCACAGTGTCTGGGAGAATTTTCAAGAATTTGAGACATTTGCATAGCAGAGAGAGAGAGAGGAGAGTTTACTTAGTAAACAGAGAAGTTGAAATGATATGGTTAATAAAGGATTCTCGAACCCATAAATCAGCAATTATTTTGCTCAGTAAGAAGGAAAAAAAAAAAAACCCCCCTTTTTGATTCATGAATATGCATGCTTACTGTCATGGAATAGAATTTACAGGTATATCTTGATGATTTAATTTTTCGCAGCAAAGGATATCTATCATGGAGGAATCTGATGGGAAAAAACTTTAGAATTATTGCAAGAAAAGGAGTACACTTTTTCAAGTTGGAAGGTATAGGATAGGCATTTGCCTTTCCCATTCATTGGAGTGAAGTATGATGATTAACTGCAAATTTTGACATGAAGTCTATGTAGAAATGTTAAATTATTTGTAATCAGTCTTGGTATATTTGAATTTCTTATGCTTTGCAGAAAAGGAGCTCAAAAGGAAGAGCAGAGAATCTGAGAAATTGACTTTATGGAGGGCTCTGGGGCTGAGGAGTGTCCCCCATATAGTTGTTAACTTTCAAGTTAAGAAAAGATTTATTGCTTGTTGGTAAAGTCGATTATACAAACACTAAAACAAACCCTATGTTGTATGAATGCAGAGTGGGGGATCTTGAAAAGAATATTACAGTCTGGGAAGCAAAATCCCTTTGAAATTCAGTTATTGAACATCATTAAAGAGAGAGATGATCTACCCCGTTATTTTGATTGATTTATCATCCAACCCTTCCTTTTTTGACTTTTGTCCTTTTTATTGTGATTTGGGACAAAGGGACCATGTCTCAGATTTGCCACAAGGTTAATGTATGTTTGAATTTTCAAATAGTCACAAGATCACATCAATTTTGATCTCAATCTTTTGTAAACGATACAAAAACATTGTGTTGATATACTTAGATTGGATAGTATTAACCCCCCAAATAGTAAAAAATAAAAAATAAAATAATTAATTAACATTTGTTCGTCATACAATCTAGTTATGTACAATACAGGTAGTTACAAACAATGAGACGTGAAAAGCTTTGCTAATAGTCACCTGCAACACAATCTTTCTAAAATGTCCTCTTTTAACTCAAACATCCCTTTCAATGAAAAAAGACACAATGATGGAAGAAAATAGAAACCCTCACGCAATGCCAAGCTGTATTTTCTTTTAGGGAAAATGGCAATACAGGTTCCAAACCTTTTCATT